CGGGCCGCCCCCTCCGGACCCCCGCTCCGCGCGCCCCGGGCCTGCCTCCCCGCCCCGCGACTGCCGTCCCCACAGGACCTGGGATCTCCACCTGGCCTCCCCCGACTCCCCGGCCGCTCGCCCGCGGGGAACCCTCCTCCAGGCTGCCCCCGCCAGACTCCCACCCCAGTGCTCCGCCCGCCCCGGGCCTGCCACCCCCTTCCCGCTGAGGTTGTTCCGCTACCCCTCCAGGACCTGGGACCCTCCACCAGTTACGGGCCCCTGTCCACCCTCTGGTGGGGTGGGCACCCTTTGGCCGGGCCTGCTCCTGACCCCTTCCGGCTCTTTGCTTCCCGGCTCTCTGGCCCAGGCTGGACACAGAGCCCATTCAGGTTCAGCCTGCAGTCCCTCTGGGTCAGAACCCCCTAAAAAGTAAGGGTTCTGCCCAGCAGGGTTGGAGGCCTCTGTTTGCTTTTATGTTATCCTCTTCATTCTTTATGGGATGATGGGCATGGGGGAGGGAGAAAAAGAAATTAGCAGGGGGCTTTTTTAGGTTGTAGGGGTGTTTGAGAACTGTGCTTCTTGTCTGCCCCGTTAAACAGCTTAACTACAAACCCCTGATTCCGGGAAATAATGTGTGCTCGTTTAGTGCAGAACTAATAGTCCTAGGCTCTGTTTATTAAAGCATTAAAAATGGGGGTTCCTAGGTGATGCAAACGGTTATGTGCTTTACTATCTGAAAGGATGGTGGTTTGAACCCACTCAGAGGTGACTTGGAAGACAGGCCTGGTGATCTGCTTTTGAAAGATCACAGCCCTGAAAACCCTATGGAGCAGTTCTCCTCTGCTCATCCGGGTGCCATGAGTTGGCTTCAACTCAGCAACAGCTAACAGCAACAACCAGGGATCACGTAGCTGTTAAGTGTGTTTCGACGTCCCTTTCTGTGGCCGTTTTCCTGCTGAAGTTCAGAATCCACATGTTCTTTAGATAGAGGAAGGTCCATTGTTCTTAGAGTTGGGGTGCTTCCAACGGTTTGTGAGAAAGACAGTAAGGAAGACCTGTGAAAGCCGGAACCTGTGTAAGGCAGAAACCTGTCAGAGGAGGGAAACTCAAGGATTGTCCACTAAAACGAGCGATAGAAAAGTGGTAAGACTGCACCCTGTCGAAGGCGGAAAACTTGCGAGACCTGGAAAAACAAGGTGGTCCCGTTGAGTTCCAGCTCTCACAGCTTTCACTGGATTTCTTCCTGTCACTGTGTAACAGCCCCTGGGACTAAGCAGTGTCCAAGGCCAGGACCACATGCTTGTAGTCAAACAAGCCACCTGCTTAGCTCAGCAAAAGCGTCCTCACTTGGTTCAGGATTTATTAACGTTCTGTTCACTTGCACGAAGAGCTATGTTTTTATCACTTTGGTTTCAAGTGTTAAAACGAGTCTCAGGTTATTTTCCAAGATCAACCATACTTACGCTTTTAAAAGTTAGGAAGTATTCATTTTCACGTTACTCAAGTTAGCATTTCAGAAAACTAAAAGGCTTGTAAACATCATACATTGCTCACATGGTGAAGTTAATTTTAGGTCCAAGCCAAGTCATTTATTTCCACGTTTTTTTCTCCAGTACTGTGAGCACTCTCTCTGCATAGCTGACTCCGCTAGACACTGAGAGGAGTCTCTCACCACCGACCTTGGAAATCACCTGTTTGCTTATGAGATGAGCTTGGCACCGGGGCTTTGGAAGGGGCCCAGGACGGAGCCCCGATGGCCGTGTCCCTGGGGCTCGGCTGCTCTGTGGCCCTGGGTAACCACCTGATCTCAAGGGTCCCCGTGGGCTCCCCGCTGTGCGCTCGCCTGCCCTGCGTGGGGCCCTTGGTGGCCATGGCGAGACGCTGAGCAGAGGGCTCTCTCTCCGGATGTGCTGTTGCTGTTTCTGCCTTCTGTGCCGTGTGCCAGCAGATGCCCAGTGTGACACAGCGTCTGCCTGAGGGACGCCTGCCGTGGCCTGTGCTCGGCGCAGCATCCAGGATGACAGGGTTTGTCTTGTGATCTCATGATCTCAGCTGATCTCCAGACACAGCACAGAGAATTACAGAGCGGAAGCAGCCTCGTGCGAACTTCTTTCATTTCGATCAATTGTGGAAAGCACATGTTTGTTTCCTAACTCCATGTAGCGTAGAAGCGGGGACTGGTGAATATTAAGAGTCATGGACTTCGAGGCTCTGAAGGACGGGCTGCCCGGAGGAGGCAGGTGCCCTCAGTGTAGACAGGGCCGAGGTTTTGTGTTGCTTTCCAGCGGAACCTGAGCATGAAGCTGCAGTGCTCTGGTGATCGAAGGCCGCTCCGGAGCCGCCCTCTGTCACGGCATTGAAGCAGACAGCACTGACGTGGTCTCCGCCGGCAGCGCACATCTCTACGCGCTGGACTGTCATGTGCATCACAGACAGACTTAGAGGGGCGGCTCGCGGCTCAGTCGGGCTGCGGGGCCGGGGTGGCCCACAGCCTGGCTGGCTGCCTCTGCTTGGACGTGGTTTCTGCGGTGCCATTGGGCAATGCGTGTGGGCCGGCTAGAGCGAACCTACGTCGGGGCCGTGGCAGTTCCCACCTCCCTCCTTGTGGCACTGGAGGTCGCTCGATCGATTTTCCTTGTCGTGGGCTCTGGGCACCAGTTGAAGTTGAGTTTCCCAAAGCCAGAGATCTGTGAAGAAGCGAGCTTTGCTTTCCAGCCCGAGCCGTGTGCTGCGTCCCCGTCCGTCTCCTGGCCCGAGCCGTGTGCCGCGTCCTCGTCTGTCTCCCTGAGTTCTGGGCCAGGTCTGCCACCCTTTCATACATACCAGTAAAGCATCCTGCCCCTGCACCCGGTCGGGCTGGAGCCCCCCGCGCTGTTCTGGGAGAAGGAGGAAAGGTGTGGCGTGTGGAGTAAACAGGCTGCTTTGTTCTGAAGTTGTGAGTCCAGGCCTAGTGTGCGGCCCTCGTAGGGGGAGGTCAGGTTAGTCAGCCAGTCTGTGGAGTTTTGTAAAGTCCAGCGAGTGCTGAGAACGTTACGATAGGAGTTAAGGGTCTTAGTCACGTGGTCTCAGTGGCACAGATGGCGAAGCCGGGTGGACATGATGTTCGCACTTCACTCCCGATGAACGTGCTGCCCTGTCCCAAACACTCCTGACTTCTTAGCACACGGAGGACAGAGTCCTTCATCTGGTGGCCCCAGGTGCTGCTGCAGCGAGCGGGCAGTGTTCCTCTGTACTGCCTCTGCGCAGACGGGTGGTTTTCTTTCTTGTCACATGACTGATCTGTAAGATGAGGACATTTCTCTTTTCTCCTTTGCAGCATCATGGCCAGTCCAAGGACGAGGAAAGTTCTTAAAGAAGTCAGGGTGCAGGATGAAAACAACGTAAGTGTTGCCTTTCTGGACTCTCTGAGGTTGCAGTGGGTGTGACCTGGGCGGCCCCAGGGCTCTGGGAGCTGTGGCTGGCGTATAGCTGTGTGGGTTCCACAGCGTCTGCTCCCCCAACTGGCAGGCAGTGCAGGCCCCGCGCTGGTCTCCTCAGGTGCTGGTCATTTGTGGCAGGGTGGGGAGGGTCCTACCGTGTCTCTCAGGGCACATGCGTTTATGGAAGCTTCTGTTTTCATTCACTTTTGCTTTACGGTGAATGTTCCGTTGCGTGGAGCCCTGTCCCCTTTCCATCAGCTTCCTGGCAGGACACCCTGCCTCCACACTCCTCGGCCCGCATGTTGGCCGTCCCAGGCACCACCCCTCTGGCTGGCCCACACCAAGTCTCCCCCCAGCCCTGCAAGTGGTACCCGCTCACTTGTGTTAGGCCCCCAAGCCCTGCCCTGGCAGGTGGGTCTCACATCTCGGTGGCCAGCCCTCCCCACTCGGTCCGGGGCCGCCCCGAGCCGCCTCGCCGAGCCGTGTGTGTTCCTCCCCACAGGTCTGCTTTGAGTGCGGTGCGTTCAACCCTCAGTGGGTGAGCGTGACCTACGGGATCTGGATCTGCCTGGAGTGTTCAGGGAAGCACCGAGGCCTGGGTGTGCACCTCAGGTCAGTCATGCCTGGGGCTGTGCCCCACTGTGGTTTCAACACGGGGTGCAGGCTCATTCTGAACTGAGTCTCAAGAACACCCCATACCACAACGGGCCCAACTTCTCCCTGCCACTAAGCACCCGCCACCCATAACAGGTGCCAAGCGATGGCTTGGGGCTGCGTCACCACCACACACGCCAGCTGCACGCGGTTGGCCCGCGGGGCCCCGTCTGTACTGCAGCCAGTGGTCAGCCCGGCCTGCGCGCGGTTGGCCCGCGGGGCCCCGTCTGTACTGCAGCCA